ACACAACTGCAGACGGAAGCACCCCGACAGAAGCACCCTGATAGAGAACAAACAGCAACGTGCAACAACACACATTTCCACCCTTACTACGAACATTCCCGAGCCAACAGCCTGCCAGCTGTGCAGGCAGCAGCAGCTACTTGGACCTGCATGTGAAGCGGATGTTTTTTTCTTCTGGAATCTCTCATCTGGTCTAGGACGCTTCGTGTTTTCAGCACACTCAAGGCCTTTGGATTGAGTTCTTGAGCGCTGGGAAATCTAGGTATAGATGTAAGGATTAAGGGCCAAAGCCCTGGCCATGGCCAGACCTTAGCTTGTTTCCTTGGTTGGGGTCCCATTCAACATAAAACATGCCACGGGGTGCCCGCGACGCGTCCCGAGGAGACGGGAGCAATTCCAGACGAACTCCAGGCGCGCCAGCGTCGAGAGAATGCCGGTTTTATGCCCACCTTCTCTTCTGTAGGGGCGAGGTTCTCTCATACCCTAAACCCCCCTAAGCCCTAAGACCTAAGCCCTAAGCTAAGCCCTAAGCCCTAAGCCCTAGGCCCTAGGCCCTAAGCCCTAAGCCCTACTTTACTACTTTACAAGAAAAGGGCGCAGGGGGCGAGGGTCTGATACTAAAACTTTGGGTTGGCAGGGCCGAGGGATTACAAGCTCCTGTGCTTGCCAGCGGCGTAGCTGGAATATTGGGGTTTCCGAAATGAGGGGCACCTTATTTGAGTCCTTGATTATAAGCCTTGTTGGGGGTCTAGATTTGCGTAAATTCCCACATGACATGCCAAGGCTGCGACACCCATGACGCCCAAGCCTTGAAGCCCCCACTCCAAAGCCCCAAAGCGCCAGGGTATAGGTTGAGGGTTGAATTAGGGTGTATATCTGAGGAACCCCAAAAGCCTACTTTCTTGTAGGTTACCTGAGAATCCGTGACAAAGGGCTTTGTAGCAATAACCTGAAAAATATCGGTTTTGAGGTTCTGAAGTTAAGGGTTTAGACCCAAGACCCAAGACCCTAAACCCTAAACCCCCAACCCCCTGCATGCAGAGAGGCGCCCGGCCCGGCGGAGCGCTTCCGAAATGCCAGGTGCGCCCATGTGCGTTGTTTAGGGTTTAGGGTTTAGGGTTTAGGGTTTAGGGTTTAGGGTGTCATGGGTGTCATGGGTGTCACGGGTGTCATGGGTGTCACGGGTGTCATGGGTGTCATGGGTCTCCGGTGCTGCTCTCGCTGCCGTAAACCTCTTGGCAGCCCAGTGCTCGTACCCTTTCTTGGGGTAATCAACCCTCCAAAAGGGTACCCTTGTTATCGTCTGGTTACTGGGTATCAAGAACCTTTGCTTGATGTGCACGGGTCCTAATCCCTCCACTGCAGCAAAAGGCTGGTTTTAAATGGAGCGCCCAAATCCTTCCCAGACACGAACCCCTCACCTGAGAACAAACCGATTCTGCCAGTTGCATTACGTATCTTTCTTGTCACCTTGTGTCCTCCTAAACCCTACAAACCCTAAACCCCAGAAACCCCTTGGCAAATCCTAAACGGTGTAGTAACTTGAACCTATAGGGCTTAGGGTTCAGGTGTTAGGCTACCCTGCCAGCCCATGTCTTGAGGCCTGCAGCCACAGCAGAGCCCGCGAGGCCCTTATCGGCCGCTTCGCGCACGTCTGCGGCCGAGGCGATCGGGGAAAAGTTCAGCTAAAACACTAAACCTAAACCCCATAAACCTAAACCCCCATAAACCCCATGATTCTGCAGGTTGGAGTTTCTTGGTAGCCCAGTGCTGGCCTTGTCCCTGTTTTGGTTGAGGGTTCCCCTACAGAGTAACCAACGCCAAAAAGGGTGCCCTTATTATGCTACGGTTGCTGGGCTGCCAAGGTTTTTGCCCTCAGACCTAAGCAGCCGGTTTTGAGCTAACCATTCTTTGTTGAGCTTATATGACTAGCAAACCAAGAGCCTGTTCTGCTTCCTCATGTTGTCTGGCCATGTTTGGTGCGTTTGGTTTCTCGTGTCCTGTTTCGCATCCAGAAGTACAATCATTGCCGCATCCGCATGATTGAAGCAACATCAGGAGGGGGGAGTTCGCCCAGTCAATCACACGCACTGGAGGGGGAGAGGGATTGGCAGGAAGAAGGGCTTGGAGTGGTGAGCTTGAAGCCGCACAGGCAAAGTCAACGTCAAAATTCATGATATCCAGGTTGAGCATCGCTGTGCATCGCTAGAGCAGGCAAAGTCATCTTCGGCGCGACCATCGCTTGGTCCAAAGGTGCTGCTGCCAGTGGCCAGTACAGTATTTGCATAAGTTTGGGTTTGTGGGCGTCGTCTAGGGTCCTTCTTTAGTATGCTAAAGATTTAGGCTGGTTTCTTTGTGGGCCATCCGCTTCATGCCCTTCGTGTGTTGGGTCGAGACTATGAATCCATTCTGGAACTTTATTTATCAACTGTTTAATGGGCTGTGCGAGCAAAATTAAGGGGCTCTAGGTAAGCCCTCGAAAACCCGACCGTCCTAACCCACGCCCTTGAACGAGAGCCTAAATGGCAATTAGCAGTGCTAGCCTATTATAAGATCCCTAAGCAAAATTGCAATACATGCTATCCTAGGACCCGGAGTAGGCCCTTGTTCCCTTGTTTCGGGGTTTAGGTCACCCTAAACCCAAAACCCTAAACCCCAAACCCCAAACCCTAAACCCCAAACCCTAAACCCTAAACCCTAAAGACCCCAAAAGCAGGCCCCTCTACTTCCCGCGCGCTTCGTCAGGCAGACGCCTCCGCACCCTCGCAACCTCCCCAGGCTGCCTTGGGGCTTAACACTGGTGCCTTTTTGCGTTATTCGGGGTTTAGGGTTTAGGGTTTAGGGTTTAGGGTTTAGGGTTCAAGGCTTCCTGGCTTCAGGACCGAGCTAGGGGGCTCTTAGAATTAGGGCCACGAGGGTTTCAGGGGCACCTTGAAGGCTTTCACGTTCCGCCCCGTCCCCGGCGCTGGCGCATGCCCAAGAACTCATCATCAAGACACTATAGGCCATAGGCCCTGAAACCCTAAATCGCAACCGTACCCGTCTTTATATGGTCTCCTTTTTTAAGGACCCATATGAACGGGCCTAGGAGGTTCAGGTGGCATCGGGTTTTGAGGGTTATGATGTTGCCGGGTTTTTTGTTGGGCTTGGGGGCTTCGGTTGCTGTTAGGGTGGTTGGTGTTTAAAGTTAAGGGTTCATCGTTGGAAGCTTTAAACAAAAATCACAAGAGCCCAATGCCCCTAATTTTAACGCTACGCGACCCGCCTCGGCCCGGCCCAGCGCATCCGCGTGAGCATGGTGATTCCGCAGCGCCCAAGTCGCTGGACCCCAAGCAATAAGGGTTGGGTTTAGGGTTTAGGGTTCCGGGTTTATGGTCTATGGCTTGGGGTTTAGGGTTGAGGGTTAGTTTAGGATTGAGGGCTTAGGGCTCAAGGTTCACGCTTTGGGGTTTAGGTTTTTTTGGGTTTAGGGTTCAAGAGACAGTTCGGCTTGGATTGATCGTAGGGTTGAGCCAGGCCCCTCAGGGGGGGTAGAGGGGGTGGGGGGGGAAGGGGGAAGGGGGGGGAGGGTTGCGGGTTTAAGGTTCAGGGTTTAGGTTCAAGCTTAGACTCTTCGGCCCGGCCGTGCTCACACCAGTTGATCACCAATATTTTGTAGTGGGGAAAAGGGGAGGGCGGGGGGGGAGGCAGCAGGGGTGGGGGGGGGGGGGGGGGGGGGGGGGGGGGGGGGGGGGGGGGGGGGGGGTAGGAACCGTCCGCTTGCGGACCCCTGGCTTGGCTTAGGGCTTACGCTTAGGGTTTAGGGCTTGGGGTTTAGGGAGCTTAGAAAGCACTCAACGAACTATATAAAGGACCATCCGATGAATCCGCCGAGGCCTCGGGCCGGAGGTGTAGACACCTCCGGCCCGAGGCCTGGGCGGATTCATCGGATGGTCCTTTATATAGTTCGTTGAGTACTTTCTAAGCTCCCTAAACCCCAAGCCCTAAACCCGAAGCGTAAGCCCTAAGCTAAGCCCTAAGCCCTAAGCCCTCAGCCCTGAGCTCTAAGCCGTGAAGCCCTAAGCCCTAAGCCCTGCTATTTTTCCACCAGGCTGCAGCTAGCAGCGAGACGCCGGATGCCGTGTGCCCGGCGATCAACTTCCCCTTTGAGCCTCGGGGTTTCGGAACGCAGGTTCTTCACGAGTTTTGGGTTTATAGTTTTCTGAGCCTCAAGGGTTTCTGGGTACCCTGAACCCTACTGTCCTAAAGCCTCTACACTCTCCACGTTGTTCTTGGGCGCGGAGGTACGTAAGCATCGACACCGGTAGGTTCGCACGAAGCCACTACCGCTTCGGGATTTGGATGTGATGCCATAATGTTAACATATCTGCGTCGCGCCCGGCTTCAGTAGTACTGGAAGTTTTTGAATCTACGTTGTTATAGCCTCATCCCGCTGCACGCTGCACCCCGGGACGACAGTCAATAGTCGGTTTGCTGAGGTCCATAAAGTAAGACAAAAGGGGTAGACAATTACTTGTATTTCTCATTTTTCTGTTGTCTCTATGTGTATATATATATATACATATATATATATATAGATAATATGTATATATATATATATGTGTGTGTGTGTGTGAGAGTGTCTATCCGTGTTTATGAGTTGAAGCTATCTAAAGAGAAGTGTAGGCTCTGTGTAGGTCGGCTTAGAAAGGCTATTCTGCAAGGCATCCTAGGGTTTAGGGTTTAGGGTTTACGGTTTAGGGTTTGGGGTTTAGGGTTACCATGCGCGACCTTTCCCACCCGACATGAGTCTTCACCCGGTTGCGACTAAGCATGGGGGGGGGAAGGGGAAATGGATGTCCGTGGTTCCAGGTTTTCTTTCAGCTCAGGGACTAGGTAGGGCGCGCTGGTGGATCTCCCCGGCTCCTATTGGAACGGCTATTGCCTGCTCCAAAATGAAACATGTCGCAAACCAGGCTGAAAACCCTTGGTAGTGCGACAGGCTTGCTTGACTGCACTAAATGGTTCGGCAGTATCGCACGCGACCATCACCGCAAAGATTTGAAAGGAACTTGCACAACCCAACATCTACTGGCTGCTATGCGGTGACACCCATGGGCAAAACACTTTTCCTTTCAGCCTACATGAATGAGAAATCAGAATTCGCCGCAGCTTCAAAATTCACGCAACACCACCCCACCAACCACGCCTGCTTGAACGCACACGCGAAGCTACAGCGAAACATTCGCCCCAAATTTATACTTTTTTAATTTGAAGCTGGCCCTAAAGCATCCTAGGCCCTAACTCCTGACTTAAAACCTCAAAGCCCCCCAAACGCCAAAAACACCCAAAACACCCAAAACACCCCAACACCCCAAACAAATCCAAGACCTCCAAAAGCCCAACAAAAACCCAACAAAACCCTAAACAAAAACCAAAAAAGACCCAACAAACCCAAAGCACCAAAACCCAGAAGCCCCAAAACCCCCAAAACACTCAACACCGCCAAAAGCCCAGAACCCCAAAAAAAACAAAACCCAAAACCCCAAAAGCAACCCAAACCCAAACCACCCCCACCCAATCCAGAAAACCCAAACCCACACGAACCCCCCCAGAGCCCCGGAGCCGAGAAGCACAGCGTGAAAAGCCCGGATATTACTTACGGCTGGACACAAATACTATATAAGATGTTATTTATGGTTCGACACACAATGACTTACAAATACTATATAAGATGGTTTGTGAAATGTGATTACCTGTATTGGGGCTGCCAGGCAGCCGCAGCTGAGCCCGGTGAGGATGCGGAGAAGGTGCTGGGGAAGCCATGACGTAAGAACAGGAGTGAAATGAGACGAGTATCCCACTTGTAGTCCCTCTGTCTGTAATATAGTAATATGTACGTGTGTATTTATGTATTCATTTGTTTATGTGTTTATATAATAGACAACAATGACATATATACACACATGTCTCTATGTTGTGTTCTACATGTTATGCAAACTATGCTGAACTTGGAGTTCAGATGTTGATTGACCAGGCCTCCATGGATAAGGGCGTAGGGTAAGGACGCTTTAAGGGTTTTAGCTGCCTAGGGTTTTGGGTCTTACCGTGGAGCATGATGTTGAATGACGGTTTGAAGGCGAGCGTGTGGCTTCGGGATGAGGACTCAGTCGTCAGGTTTTACATTAAGCCCGATGTCCCCAGTGGGGTGGCCATTGTTGACATCACTTCAAATTGCTAGGATGCCCAAACCCTAAAAACCCTAAGCCCTAACCCCCTTCAAGTAGTCTGCAACGTGGCCAGGCATCCAGCTCAGGAGTCGCGCGGGTGGCGGCGGTCAAGGCCTCCTCCCTTTAGGGCCAACACTTTTCGGCGTTTCGACTCTGAAGAAACCGCCGGATACCCGAATGCACAGCTTCGACTGCTTTACCCCTAAGGGTCCATGTACCTAAATAGGGACTACTTGAGACTCAAAGCACTTCCTATATGGAAACTTTGGGACGCAGGTAAATAATTATGGGGTGCACGGGCCAAGAGGGTTTCGAACACCATCCCAGAATCTTCGCCAGGCGATGGCGACCGCGTCCACCGCACAGGCCGCGCGCTTCGGGCACTGACGGGAAGAATTGTCTGTGCGCCCGTATGAGGGCTAGAAGTACAAGTAGCCTACTCACATCGACTCCCCAAGTATTCCCTGCTAAGAGACCCCAGACATGAAGGTGCCCAGTAGACCCCTACTGTCTCACTTGCGGGGTGTGAACGTGATGACCTCATGGATCTTGTAATCAATCCCGAAGGCTTTGGATTCATGGCTGAGGAGCTAGCAGAGCTGCGGTTTAAGTTTAGGGCTTAAGTTTAGAGTTTAGGAGGATTTGGAGATGCTGCTTTTACTGTCTCTGGGGTCATAAGGTGTAGAGGGGGTTTAGGGTGGAGGGTTTGGAGTTTACGGGGTTTGAGCTCCTGGCCCGGCGTGGCCCATCGATTTCTGACAGTTAGCACGATTTCAGGGGCATCGCTTAAGGGTAGGCCCCTCCCCCTTTTTCCGAGGAACAGTGCCAACTTTTGGAATGCAAGCAACGGCAGAGCAGCATGAACACACACATGTTGTCCCAAGATGTCCCATGCCCATCATTCACAAAGAAAGTCCACAGCCAACTCTTCCTTGACGGCTCAACCCTCCCAAGCCCAACAACAGAAAACCTGGGCCTGGGATTTGGGTAAGTAAGTTTAGTGTAGACCCTGCGGCCCCTAAACCCCCCTCCCCCCCCCTCCCCTAACCTCAGCCATAGCCCTAAACCCTAAACCCTAAACCCTAAACCCTAAACCCCAAACCCCAAACCCTAAACCCTAAACCCCAAACCCTAAACCCTACCTCTAACCCCTAACCCCCAACCCCTAACCCTGAGCCCACCTTCGATGGAGGTTGGGGAGGGCAGCCGGTCGGCACTGCAGCAGCGCCGGAAAGCGCGCGAGCAGCGTCGCAAGGCGGAGGGCTGTAGCTGGCTATGGTTTCAGGTTTAGGGTTTGGGGTTCAAGCCCTGAACCCTAGACCCTAGACCCTAGACCCCTGAACCCTAAACCCTAAACCCTAAAACCTAGACCCTAAACCTTAGGGTTCAGGGGTTCAATGATTCAAGGTTCAGGGTCTCAGTGTACTCTGAACCCCCAAGGCAAGACCCCAAACGAAGATTTTTTGTCTTTAGGATCCACGCACGATTGGAAGCACCTGCCATTTTGCAAGTGGGGTCTGCTCAGCCCTTGTAAACCCTAACCCCGAAACCCTAAACGCTAAACCCTAAACCCTAAACCCTATTCTGGCGGTATCTATCTAAAACCTCAGGCCCCTGTGTAAGGCCTCCACTCTGCACCCTAAACCCTGAAGGCGCTCATCCCTAGACTTGGTGGTGCTTACAGGGGGTGATGAGAAGCAAGAGCGGAGCCCATTGCATCATATTCCTGTGCATGTACATATTGTAGGACCCACTTTGAAGTCCCGTAGGCTTTTGGCTTCCGGAGGTAAGGAGGTTTGGAGGGTGGATTTCGGGAGGGTTGGCATTTCGGGAGGATTGTCCGAGTCCTTCAGGAGGTGATGAAGGTCCTGGACGCCGATGGTGATGGCGTCATCACGAAGACGGAGTTCCAGCAACTGCAGGAGACCAGCTTTGCTGTCAAAGAGCCACTTCTGTACTCTTATATCTACTATTTGCTTAAGAACCCCCCCAAACAAAATGTATGAATATATGCACCTATGTATATATGTACATATATATATACATACAGATATATAGATATATATATATATACATATATCCTTATAAGGACAATATACGGATCATTGTTTCTATTTTGGGGGGGGCTTCTTAAGCAAGCAGATAGAGTCCCACACCGGTTTTGCAGTTGAAGGTTGGAGCCGAATTCGCGGTGTTCTAGACTGCATATGGGGAGATTTCGAAAACTGTATAGGTTTTTTAGGGGGCTATGGGTGGCTAAGCGTCGCAAGGACAACCCTCAGTTCCCTGACTCCAGGATTTGGGGGGGGGGGGGGGGGGGGGGGGGGAGGACTTTTGGCTTAGTAGGAAGTGGGGTAGGGCAGGGAATCTGAAAGATCATGCAGTTAGCGTCCAGCAGGTAAGAACACCACCAGTTGCAAGAACAGCAACATCAACAAGCAAGAGTAACTTTGATCATAAGAATATTCGGAGCAATGTATTACAAATTAGTTGCAAACAAACCCAAAAACCATGTACCCACATAGCATATACTTGGGCCTTAAAGGGGTTCCTATATAGTATCTTTGGGGCCCAAGTATATACTCGATAGACTCTATAGGAGGCCTAAACCCTAAGCCCGAAGCCCTAAGCCCTAAGCCCCACATACCAGAATAACAAAGGCGCATGGACCTTTAGGGAAAAGTCACCATATCCTTTCACAACACTGAACCCTAAACCCCAAACCCCTAAACCCCTAAACCCCTAAACCCTAAACCTAACCCCCACCAATCCTTTCACAACTGGAGCCAATCCTGTTGCCTCAAGGCGGCGAACCCCGAACTGGCCAAGGCACTCGGATTCACGGGGAAGCCCAGTAGTGCTCTTGTTTGGGGTTCTGGGCCCCTTTATCTTTGCAGGTTTTAGGGTTGTTTGTTTAGGGTTTAGGGTTTAGGGTGTAAGACTGGGCTGGCTAGGTTTAGAGATTAAGTTTCAGGAAGTTGGTGCTTGGTGGTTCAGGGTTCTTCTGATCAGCCGCGTTTTTTTTGCACTCTAAAACAGTGTCCCCGGAGGTGGAAACCCTAAACCCTGTCGAGCAAGCCCCATTTAAGGCCCATGCATATACTACTAGGACTGGGAGTAGGCCCTTCTATTCCTAGGTTCCTCCCGGGTCTAGTATACTATACGGTTACATGTAGCCATTGGGTTGTATACCTTTACTGAGTCGATTTCACCTTGTCCGAAACCCTGAACCCTAGAACACTAGAACCCTAGAACTCCAACACCCTGAAAGCTTGAAACCACAAAACCCTACAAGCTACACCCAAAAAATCCCGGAACCTTAAAACCCAAAAGCCCAAATCGCCTAAAACCCTGAACCCTACAACCCGGTGGTATTAGGTTTGGGTTGGGCAGGTGTGTTGGTGTCGAAGGCTTGGACTCCTTGAGCTCGTGAGATCTTGAGCCTTAAGCTGTGACACCTTCTGCGAACTGGTTGCTGAGCACACGAACTTGCGATCCCGTTCAGCGTTTAGGGTTTTGGGGTTCAGGGCTTTGGGGTTCAGGGTTTTCGGCTTAGCAGCTGTTGGGGCTTAGGGAATCGGGGTACCCTACATTGCAATCAAAAGGTCAGCTCGTTGGTCACCCATCTGGGCTTACTAGGTTAACCAACCACCAAAAAGGGCACCCTTATTTTTATATGGTTAGCGTAAGAACCCAAAGCCTGCCTTTTTTGGTAGGTTAAACAATCCTATACGGGGTTTATAGCAACTACTACGAAGAAGGTAGGTTTGGGGTTCTGAAGGTGCCGGGCTACCAAGCTGAAGATAGTCGAACAACCCTAAACCCTAAACCCTAAACCCTAAACCCTAAACCCGAAAGGTGGACATGAGCAAACTCGATGCCGACGGGGACGGCCAGATCAGCAAAGAAGAGCCCGCCCGGCGAGCTCAAGGGAACATCCTAAAGCACTTGACCCAAGGATGCGCGGGGGGGGGGGGGGGGGGGGCATAGGTGTGGACAGCCCCTAAACCCTAAACCCTAAGCCCTAACCCCTAAACCCTACCCGATCATGCAAGAAGCCCCCAAATTCAGGGACTAGTGGAGGGACCCTTCGAAGTGACCATGGGAGTTTTGTTCGACGGCCTGTTGTTGGGGCTTCTCAGTGCCCTAAGGTTCCCTGCACCCATACACTCTATACTTGGGAGGTAGCTGGACCCTTAGGGTTTAGGGTTTAGGGTTAGGGTTTAGGGTTTAGGGTTTAGGGTTTAGGGTTTAGGGTTTAGGGTTTAGGGTTTAGGGTTTAGGGTTTAGGGTTTAGGGTTACCACCACACACTGGATAGCAACTGTTGGAAAGTTCGACGCGACCGCATCGCTACCCTGGTCAGCTACCCAAAGATCGTCCCTACTTGGGTGCCCTGAGTTTTAACCCTAAGGGTCCATGTACCTCATTATTATATACCTGGGCCCCCCCAAAGCTCCTTTCTACGAGGTACTTTCAGGCCTTCAGTAGTCCCTTTTTAGGTACATGGACCCTGGGGGTTCGGGGTCGTAGTATATCAGGAACCTCGAAAGAGGATTCTTGTTAAATCAGAGGAAGGACCAAGTAGGTCTCCAAATCCTCATCCCCTCACTCTGGGGACTCCTCTGCATCAGGCCTTCTATATGCGGGCCATTCTGGCTTTCTAGTCACAGATCCCCGTCACAGGTAGCAAAGCTTCTAGTCCTAAACCCGAAGCCCTTAAAACCCTTTCAAGCCCTTCTAAAAAGGAATACCGAACCCTAAACCCTAACCCTAAGCCCTAAACCCTAAACCCTAAACCCTAAACCCTAAGCCCTAAGCCCTAAGCCCTAAGCCCTAAAGACAAGCACAACAAGCCTCAAACGGCGCACCTCCCCCAGAGAGCCAGGCTGGACAAAGCTCTGGACGAGCTGCCTCGCTTACTTGGGTAGCTGAGTGTTGTACCCTTTTGCACCATTTGATTTCTGGGTTCCCTAAACCCTAAACCCTAAACCCTAAGCCCTATAAGCCCTAAACCCTAAACCCTAAACCCAGGTCTGGGTTCCCTTTTTTGAGTAGCTCGGGGTTCCCTTTCCTTTTTTTAAGCAGTTCTGGGTTCCTTTTTTCAAGTAGTTCTGGGTTCCCTTTTTTTAAGTAGCCATTCAGCGCCTAAACCCGAAACCCTAAACCCTGAACCTCGGGAAGCCTTGCACTTGGGACCCTCCGGGCGCTGCAATCGGCTGCCAGGATTGGGATGGCGATGGTCAGGGCAGCCAGGCGGAGCGCTCAGACGTCTTTCGGCACCTTGGGGACCACATGAACCCTAAATTGGGGTCATCTATACATATACATATGTATATATATATATATGTATACCCTATCGCTATACTTTGTCAGAATCCCTATTCAGGTATGTGAACCATAAACCCTGTGAGGGTTCATGTGGTCCCCTGTGAATGCTTTGCGTTTTGGTTTGTCTCGCCTTCCTTGGTTTCGGGGGCCGGCACACGAAGCAAGGGCGCCACGATCTTCGCCGCTGTTGCCAACATCTTCGGCAGCCAGGCGGCAGTTCCCTGTCCTCTCAGTTCAGGGTAGATGTCCTCCATGGGGTCAGGACTTCCCTCCATGCCGGAGGGCAGACCAAATTCTTGATACTCACGTGGCACTTTGCTGGTGCAGGAGCAGACGCAGGAAAAGCCGGACGAGAAGAAGGAAGAGGCCAAGGAGCAGAAGGAGGAGGAGAAGAAAGAAGAGGCTAAGGCTAAGGAGGAGCAGCAGGACAAGGCAAAAGAGGAGAAGAAGGAGGAAAGGACAGTAGAGAAGAAGGACCCGGAGCCAGAGGACCCGAAGGAAAAGGATGCCCAGAAGCCCACCGAACCGAGCGCCTCATCCGCAGACGCAGCGCCGAAGCCGGAGGAGGCGTCAGAAGCTAAGCCCGACGCGGACGCAGCAAAGCAGGCCTTGGTTTAAGTTTAGGGTTGAGGGTTGAAGGGTTCAGGGCTTGGGGTTTAGGGTTGAGGGTTTTTAGGGTTTAGGGTTTGGGGGTGCTGTGAGCCCTGCAAGCCCCTGAAACTTCGAAGCTATTTAAGGCCGACAGATGATACTTCGATCTTGCAGGATATCGTGTGCATGATGCTGTCGGACTGCATTCCCCGAATGTTGTGTATACAATTCGTGCGTCTGGACATTGATATGTATGTATGTTGCAAGGTAGCACATGTGAATGTCAGGTGGCACATGTGAATGTCAGATTGTGTCTTTGGCTGTAGCATGAGATCATGCTTCACCATCGAACCATGTCAGCTGTGCATACTGCGTATGGGAATGCATGTATTCGGACATACATTCATACAAATATACATGTATAGGTATAAAGTCTTTCTGAACCCATAACTGCATTTACATACATACATATGTATATATATGTATATGCATTTTATCTATCTATGTATGTATATACAGACCCTGTCGGAGTGCACTATACTGGAGTGCTTGTATTTCATGATATGGTATGATATGATTATACTTTCGTTTGATGCTGCAAGGCTTTTGAGTTGTGCAACTATTTGGTGTTGCGCTGCATTGTATGCCATTGGGCCGTGCCACGTGCTGCTTTTTAAGAAGATCAAGCATTGACAGTTCGTACTAACCTTTTCTCTGAATGAGAACCATCAATTCCTCGGATCCCCATCCTTCGATTGCGGGAGCTGATCGGGTTGCAGGCTTCGGGGCATTGCTGTGGCCTTATGCAGGTGTGGACATGTTTGTTCTCTTGGACCCCTCCGGCCACCCTCCGCCTACTAATCCTAAACAAGCAAGCCCGCACTTTTAAAGTCGTAGGGTTGTCAAGCACCCTCAAAAAAGGGGTTTCCGCCAAGTATAGTTATAGCTACCCATAACCCGTCAAGTGAACCCCTAGACCCTAAACCCTAAACCCTAGACCAAACCCTAAACCCTAGACCCTCAACTCCTATCTTGAACCCGGAAGATCGAAATCCTTATAATGCCCCAAAATTGAGGCCCCTCAACCCTTGAAGCTCATTACTTAACCTTCAGGCGTAGGGCCCAATAGGGGGCCTGTATAGTTAGAATAGACGTTGGGGGGAAATTACGGCATACTTACAAAAAGGGGCCCTAAGACTAAGGGAATACTATGCGTGTTTTTTCCGACCCCTATATGAACTCTTATATAACCCTAAACCCTAAACCCTAAACCCCAAACCCTAACCTTCTTACAGGAGGCGGCCGAGGCGCCAGCGGCGCCACGACCCAAAGCTCTTCCCAAAGCCATGTCGGCCGGACTCCCCGGAGAGAGAGATTTGTTGAAGAATTCGACTTGAGGTTAGTTGTTCTTCTTGGTTTTTCGTTAGGGCCGTTAGGGTTGTTAGGGTTTAGGGGTTAGGGTTTAGGGTTCAGGGTTCAGGGTTTAGGGTTTAGGGTTTAGGGTCTAGGGTCTAGGGTTTACGACTTAGGTTTTGTTTGGGGTTCCTGAAGGCTTAGCAAGACGAGGATTTAGGGTGCAACTGCTGTTTTGGGTCGAGGCGTGGGTTTGGAGGGCTTGCAATATGGGTTGCGCCGGGGCACACGGGGGATTCTTTAAAGTATGGCCCCTTTTGGGTACCCTGGTATATACATATATACATATATACATATATATTATATACATGTATATATGGCAATGGACCCAAAAAAAAGAGCTTCCCATATCTGAAGAGGCTTAGCTGAGGGTTTAGGGTTTAGGCTTTCAGGGCGTCTGTGAGTTGAGAGGCCCAGTGTCTCTAGCAAGCGCAACTGAATGCTTGGAGCACTCTACCTTTACAAGCACGGCAATGACTGTTCTCATCAACTCCACTTCAGGCGCATAAGCGCTATAAGACAACACCCTGAACCATGAACAAGCCACGCTACTTCAGCTACGTACCCGAACGTTCACGCAGGTGATGACGAAGGTGAACTTCGTCGCCGGCAGGCCTGCCTTAGATCTGCATGTAGGGTTTCGAGTTGAGGGGCTCAGGTTGTAAGGCGTGCACTTCAGGGGATCTCAGGATGATGTTCTGAAGATTTTTTGGGGATTCAGGGTTTGGGGTGGGAGAAAACGACAATTCTTGGTGTGAGGGTTCGGCTTCATGGTTTAGGGTTTGGAGTTGAGCATGAGGTTCTGCATGCACCACAATCTCCAGCACTGGCTCACGGTGTTGTATGACAGCAGTCCGTATAGCAGATGGTACGCACCCCTTTCCATCTAAAGGTGCAGCAACAACTTGTGCTAAGACTTCCCACTTAGCAAGCATGCCCCACAGCGAGTGCTGCTGCGCAAGAGAAGCCTTAAGCCCCCAAGCCATACACCACGACCCCTGCGAAAATCATCGCATAATAACAAGAAGTTGAAAGTGTTTCACCTCGAAACGGCAGCTCGAGGGGCTCGCAAATCGGTCTCCAAGCCCAGCAACGATGATTCTTTCGCCTGACAACACATCATCCAGACGCCGGAAGCACAAGAGAAAAGGCCCAAAAAGCCTTCCCCGGCGATTGCTTTGTACCCTACAAAGGGAATCTAAGGTGCCCCCTCTTAGACTTTTAGAAAAACCCCGGCCCAAAAACCGCCAAAACCCTAAACCCTAAACCCTAAACCCTAAACCCCCATAAACTCTCCGGTAAATCCTAATTGAACCTTAGGCCCAAGGGGCGCTCTAAACCCTGCAAGCCCTTCTCCCTGTGCAAGCCCTGCAGTCTCAGCTCCCTAAGACCCCTAAGACCCTAAGACCCCTAGGACCCCCAAACCCCTACACCCCTACACCCCTAAGCCCCTAACCCCCTAAACCCCTTAAACCCCTAATAACCCTGAGAACCAGGAAGGGCAGCCGTGGCCTTGGAGACGTGACATGAAGTTTCCGGCTGAGGGTTCATGGGCCTGTCTATATTCGCATGATTCGGGGGTTTAGTGTTGTTTAGGGTTCTTAGGGTTCGGAGAATATTTAAGTTTTTTGGGGTGGGGGAGTAGTTTGGTACGCAGGATGTTCTTGGCAGTTGTCTAGGCTCCTGTCTTGGGCGTCCAAGCCCAAGGTCTAAGGTCCAGCATTCAGAGTTTAGGGGCTCAGGTGCAGGGCTTTAAGGTGGAGCTCTTCGGGAGGGGAACGGTGGATGAAGGGACGACCGCTGAAAACCGGCAAACCCGCAAAGCCCAAACCTGCGAGACGCACCAGACTCCCAGACTGTGACATCCAAGAGGCCGAGATCCCTTCGGAGAAGTAGAATATGCAATATGTAGTATGCAGTATATATTTATATATGCAGCACTACTACATTATATATATATATATATATATATATATATCATAAAAATAGCTTAACAGAATGCCGAAGGGTGTCAAGGCCGAACCTATCCTTTGAACCGTCCCCGTGGTTTCAAACTTCGAACCCCGCCCTGAAGTCCGTGAAAGCAAGGCGCTTACGCACTTAGCCCACACCGAGCCACGGAAAACGAACAGGAGCACTTGCAGGGTTCAGGGTTGGTTTAGGGTTTAGGGTTTAGGGTTTAGGGTTTAGGGTTTAGGGTTTAGGGTTTAGGAGGATTCAGGGTAAAGGACCGCAGCATGACCCTCAGAAACACCGTCGCCTTAGGCCTCGCTGTCAACTCCACGGGCATGGATGGCCGGGCGCTCGTCATCCAAGCGAAGCTCACGGGTTTAGGATTTAGGGTTTAGGGTTCAGGGTTTAGGGGTTAGGCTTTAGGGCTTAGGGGTTAGGGGTTCGGGGTTAGGCGTATAGGGTTTGGGGTGTTTGGGGCTTAGGCGCTACAGGGCTTAGGGCCTCAGGGCCGGATATATTCCTCGGGACAACAATGATCCTCAAGGGTGTGCAAGGGCATCGGGTCAGGGCCCCGAGTAGGCCCTTGTTCCCCTTCTTTTAGGGCTTAGTTGCCCTTAAAAACGCCTTTACCGTGCACCCTTTTATTCCTAGGTCACTCTTGGAGTCTAGTAGGCTTTAGGGCCTAGGGCCTATATTGCTTAGGACAAAGATGATCCTGCTCTCTGATCTTCGGGGCTGAGCCATCCACCGGGAACCCATACGGAAAACTATACGACTCTGCATTGACTTGCCATAGGATCCCGAAAAGGAACCCTAAACCCTGAACCCGAAACCCCCCATACCGTCGAAGCCTTCGCCCCATCGCCCAGCACGCCCAGGTGCTGCTGTGGGTGAGGCAGCCCTGTAGTGCTTAGGGTTAAACCCTAAACCCTAACCCCTAAACCTAAGCCCCAAACCGTGACACCGCAAGGTTTAGGTGTAGGGTTAGGATGCTGGGGTCTGTGGCTTGGAGGGTTTATGGGGTAAAGGCTCAGTTCTTCAACCCCCCGTAACACCCGAAACCAAACCCCGTGAACCCCAGACCCGAAAGCGTGTAATAATGTTTGGGTTTAGGTTTCAGGGTTTAGGGTTTAGGGCTTGCAGATGCCAGCCTTATATAGGGTGGTAGGATTGCTGGGCGTGGAAGCCTTGCAGTTAGGCATTGAGATTTCGGTTTAGGGGCTTATGGTTTAGGATTCAGGGCTTCGGGATGTTCTGGGCTTAGGGTTTAGGGGCCAGGACTGAGAGTCTCAGAGCTTCGCGTTTGGAACTCGTTGCGTTCTGTGCATGCCTGATTTCGTCAACTCTCGGGGGGCATCGTGCTGGAACTTATGAACCGTTGGCCCCTGAATCCCCTGAGTCGAACCAAACTCAACCTCAAAACCCTGGCTACTCACTTTGACCATGACCGTGTACATCCGTAAACTCTGCCCCTGAGAAGCCCTGCAAAGCCCAAGCTCCAATACAGTCCAGCTTGCAGTTTCAGAGCTTCAGGGCTCTTAACGTGAAACTCGGAGTTCCTAAGCCTCACCCGAAGCCCTAAACCCAAAGGCCACCCAAGTTAGTGGCACTTTTTACGGGGAGTTGAGGAGTTTAGGGTTTAGGGTCAGTCGCCCCCACTCATTGAAGCACCAGCATAAGCCTGGGACGTTTTCAACTCCTAAAGCCCTCTTGTCATGCCTTGAGGCTCTAGGCAATCCTAAACCATCCTAAAGCCCCGGCTATAAACCTTTGAAGACTTACGCTCTTAGAGCCTTGAGCCCCTAAAGCCCTCAACTCCTGATGCCCTCAGAATCCCAAGAGCCCTCAAAACCTCAAAGCCTCAAAACCCACAAGCCCTAGACCCTAAGCCCTAGTAAGCCCTGAAGCCTAAAGCCCAAACCCTCAACCCTCAACCCTCAACCACCTCAACCCTCAACCCTCAACCCTCTCAACCCTCTCAACCCTCTCAACCCTCTCAACCCTCTCAACCCTCTCAACCCTCTCAACCCTCTCAACCCTCTCAACCCTCAACCCTCAACCCTCAACCCTCAACCCTCAACCCTAAACCCTAAACCCTAAACCCTAAACCCTAAACCCTAAACCCTAAACCCTAAACCCTAAACCCTAAACCCAAGCCCGCCGGTCTGGAGGCCTCCGCCTCCGCTGCGCGAAAGCGCAGGGAGGCGCGGAACCAGAAGAAGCCGGCTGGCCCAGGCTGAGGTGTTCCAGGATTTTTGCGGTTTACTACGAATTGCTTAAGAACCCTCCCAAAAAAATCAAAACAATCATCCTTATAAGTTTAAGGTAAATACAGGGATTATTGTTTCTTGTTCTTTCGGGGATTCTTACGCAAATAGTAGTTTAGGATCACGTTTAGGGTTTTGGGTTTAGGGTTTAGGGTTTCGGGTTCAGGGCTTAGGGGCATACGGAAGGTTGGGGCCAGTTTGGGTTTTACTTTTTTTGACAGTGCGTGCCCCAAGCTTCAAAAACTTGCATAGAACTACTTAGAGGTTCATGGGTATTTTCAAGTAGGGTTGCACGTCAGATAGCTCTAGCTACTACCTGTCTCAGGGCGCTTATAACCTTACTTGTAGTGAGCCATGAACCTTCAAGTGCAACATGTTCCTGCTGCGGTCTGGTGTTGGGCCTAGCGGCCTAAGGGTACTCGAATCGCAAATTCGTGGATAGTTGCGTGTAGGCTTGTGCAGACGCTAATTTGGGGAAGAAAAGGCAGTTACCCGTAGTCGGAACCTTGAATTTAGGCAGGGTTTAGGGTTCGAGGTTTTGGCATTGCTCTTGGTGTGGATGTGCTCTGTCTGCATGCACGCTTTCCATGCGATGTGGAAAGGAGGGGACAATGTCAGCAATAGTCTGGAGCCCTACCGTCCAGCACAGTACACCAAAACCCGAACACAGCTAGCCTAAACGCCTCGGACTATACCAAACATTAAGGCTTTCGAGCCTTGGCAGCTTCGGTGTTTGGATGATAACGTTCCCTCACAGCCCAAAGAGCTTCCAAGCCTGAACCCAGCGCCTCAAAGCTAGCACCTTCACCCTTTTAACCCTTTTCGTGGTTGAGGGTTGAGGGTTTCGGGTTTAAGGTGAAGGGTTGGTAGGGTCAACCCCCAAAACCCCCAGCTGTTTGCTGAGGGCGATGAAGATGGCCACTGTCCAGGTCGACGGGATGGTGGTCAGTGCTCCAAACTCTCGTCAAACCTAGTTGGGCGGTAATTCTGTTGTTTGGGGTCTACAGTACCTGTGACCCAAAGCCTACAATGTTGTAACGTAGTAGGTTAATACACTCAATATGGGGCATAATAATCCCCCCCCCCCCTCCCAAAGAATAAATGGAGTTCCAGGGGGGGTGGGGCAACTAACCAACTAGATGTGCTGTGATCTCTTCATGCCACAGGTCTCTGAAGCGGCCCAATCCTCAAGAGCCTTTGGTCAAGATATCAGTTCCCGCAAAATCCTCAAATGACCATTTGAGATTCAAACACCCCCACACCCCCCCCCCCCCCCGCCACCCCACAAAGGGTACTTCAGGGTTTAGGTACGGTTCAGGGCTTAGCTAGTCTAGAAGCCCTGAAACCTAAACCCCAACCCCCCCAAAACCATGAAATGCCGCTTGGACGAGGAAGACGCCGCTGACGGTGGCTGAGTGCCTCCCGCTGTGTCGGGATGTAGGCAGGCGGCGGTTGCCGGGTGGAATGAAGGGGTCGGAATTGTTGCTAGTAGTTTTCAGGTTTGGGTCGTTATATAACGATTATACTGTAGCTAACCCCCAGAACACTGTTCGAAATTTATGCAGGCCCCTATATTACAGGTTTCGGGAGTGGGGCGGGCTTCGACTTCCACCAGAGACCACCGGCCTGAAAGAGAAGAGTCGGAGGTGTGGATCTGACGGCAACGGTTT